AAAATCGAACTACATTCGACTTAATAATCAAGTATTAAATTAAAATATGTCATAGTAGAGTATAATATAAATAATAAATTTCTTATAAATATGCCTACTTTTATAAAGAAACAGCTTGTTGCTTATAATAGTAACTTATTCGTTTACAAACTACTACTCAATCTTTCTTTCAATTTCTTTAATCTCTCAACCTTTTAATCTTTCTTTCTCTATTTCTTAATCTCTTTCAATCTTTTTCTTTCTGTCTTTCAATCTCTCTCTCTCTATTTCTTAACCTCTTTCTCTCTTTCTCTCTTTCTGTCTCTGTCCCTATCTCTTAATCTCTCTTTATATCTCTCAATTTCTCTCAATTTCTCTCTCTGTCTCTTAATCTCTCTTTCTCTTTTTCTCTCAATCTCTCTCTTTGTCTCTTAATCTCTCTCTCTGTCTCTCAATCTCTCTCTCTATCTTTTAATTTTTCTTTCTTTCTTTCTTAATCTCTCTCTCTCTCTTTCACTCTTTCACTCTTTTTCTGTCTCTCAATCTCTTTCTTTGTCTCTTAATCTTTCTCTCTCTCTTTTTTAACCTCTCTTTTTCTTTCTTTCTTTTGATCTCTTTCAATCTCTCTTTTTCTTTTTTAACCTCTCTTAATCTCTCTCTCTAAAATGTCTCAAAACAAAGTGCAAAGGATATTTGGATGTTCTATAGAATAGGTGGCAAACTCCGCAAACTCTGCAACTTCACTATTAAAAATTAATGATTACTAATCATTAGCGAAGCTTATTTCTTATATTGCCCGCCTATTCTATAGAATATCTGGATATTTTAAATCTATTAATCATGATTCATCTAATTTAGCTACTTAATTATTATCTACAGTACTTTGACCTATAGAACATATATGACTATTAATTGCTATTGCCAAAAATGTAATAACAAATTAGTAGATTTTTGTACCAAAAATCAACATTTTTTAACTATTAGCAAACAGTTATCTCAAACAGGATTTAATGAATTAAGGTAACAAATCTGGATTGCTTCAGAATTAAGTAGTCTGAGTTAACAATTAGTAACAATAGTTAATTTAAGGTCAGATAATGAACTTCAATCTGGTCCTGATAATGAACTTCCATCTAGTCTTGATATAGATGACTTATTATTTTTACTAAGAAAATGTGTCAAACATCAACTGCTAAATGATAGCTTTGAATTCAGAAGAATCAGCTACAACTTTGAATGATGAAAGTTGTAACAAAAGAAATTCAATATAATAATATTAATGAATTTGAAGATTATTTAGCATTAGATATTGATTATAAAAAAAAATTTTAATCTAGCTCTAGAGTATCATCTATTTTTGATGATATATTAATTTGGCTATTAAAATATCAAAGCCAGTTTAAAGTGTCTGAAGAGGCTACTGAAGTTTTGGTCAAATATATTTGACAACTTTTATATGAGTTAGGTGATAAAAATATATTTTTAAATTTTTCAAGCTTAATGCATAAGCTTCAAAAACATTTCAAAATCAACAACTTTATAACATATTCAGTTTGTCTGAATTGTAACAAATTATATACTGAAGAGGAGGTTGTTAATTCCCAGAATAATAAAAAATAATTGTTAATAAAAAAAATGTAGTTATATTAAATTTCCAAATATAATTAGATCCAGAACTTAAAATCATCTAAACAAGCAAAATGCTTTTTTAAAAAAGCTTTAAAAATTAAAAACTTTGGCTACATAAAACTTTAAACTATTAATTTAGATTAATTTAGATTAAAAAAACTCCTAACTACTGATTAAAATTTCAAATTTTATGTAATACAAAATTAAAATAACCTTTGTAGCCTTATATTAGTTGAACTCAAGTAAGTTTTTTTATTGTTATATGCTTGTTTCTTCACAGTACTTATAGATTTATATATAACAATTTCTATTAATGAGAAATAAGCAGAGTTTGAAAAACAGAGATATTTATGATAAGTATCTAATTATATTAAAAAAGTCTAAACCTTGATTACAGATAAACTACTATATGCCAAGTTTATAATATTAAAAACTCTTAGTTTATAATACTTAAAACTTTTAGCCTAAAATATTAATATAAAATATTTAAAAACATTCAACTATAATAGAATAGAAATTTTTTTTAAGAAAATTGCTACAAATTATTTTTTTTTCGGTATTAAGGTGAGGTCTTGCCTCATGTATTTTTATTGAATCAATAAATCTATATACTACTATACAACCTTGTTGCTCACTCATGTACCTACTTACTGACTAATCTAAGAATACTAAACTCTGACTACTTTATCCATGATCTAAACCAACCAGAGCCTTAATGTCCGACCTGGATTTTTGTGTACTACTCCTGCTAATCAATTTCTTATCTATAGGTCCCTATAGGTAATCTATTTTCTTAACCTGGTATCGTACCATATGCCAGAGGTGCTTCCTATTCCAGTTGGACTAATCCTTTACTACAGGTCATTCTTGTGTTCACCACTTTTCTAAACCTCTGGGTTTATTACTATCGTATCACTCTTCCAAGCAAGTTTCTCAACTGCTGGGGATGTTGGTGCTAGAGATGCTGGTAAAATAGTTTAATTTTAACAGGTGAAATGGTGAAATAATTTCACCAAAATTACACCAAAATAAAAATTTAGTGAAATGGTAAAATTGGTGAAATTGGTGAAATTGGTGAAATTGGTAAAATTGGTGAAATTGGTGAAATTGGTGAAATTGGTGAAATTGGTGAAATTGGTAAAATTGGTAAAATTGGTAAAATGGTAAAATTGACAAAATAGTAAAATTAGTAAAAATATAATTTAATAATTGTTAATAATACGTATATATGAATATATTTTAACTTATGCACATCAATTATTTACGTACATTAATATTGCTATTTAATGTTATGTCTCTTTTTAATTATTATATTACAAACAAAAGCATTATCAAAAATCAATTAATAGTATATTTTAATTTTGGCAGTTTATATAATATACGCTTTCCTTTGTTTAAATTAGTAAAATAAGAAATAATTTTATTAAAAGATATCTAAATTTAACTAATCTTAAATATCTTAATTTATTAGCATATTAATTATCATTGCCTTTATATGTAATTGTTATTTTGTAAAGAGGAATCTGGCGCAAAGATTTTTTTTATCCAGTTAGATAAGGGTCGACAAATAGCCAAAATCCAAGGCATACTTTCACAGCGTGAGCAAGCAAAATCTTTAATCCAAAAATCTCTTAAAAGATTAACAGTCTCCCTGACCATACAGAAAATTATATTTCTTTTGCCAACTTTCAAGCGTGTTTAAAAACTATTAAACAAATCCTTATTATTTATATAGATTATCGTTAATTATTATCATATACTATAAAAATTAATAATTTTAATAGTAAAATAGTGCATTGATATTTAAACTAATGCTCATTATATATTCTAATAGAATACCTATCTCTGCGAATATAAACAATTTGAATGCCTTAAATTTATCTTTTGCTCTAATTTAGTTATTATAACAATAACCAATATTATATATATCTGTAGTATAGAAAATGCAGGCTGAACTTCTAAAAAATATAATAAATTTTATTTTGTGGGCCTTGTGGGCCAGAAAATTTACAAATTTTTAGGCCCGTGCAGACCTCTATTCTGTAGTAATCATGACCATTGATATTATATATTTCACTAGCATACTTCACACCTGCAAATTTCATGTACGATTTAATGTTGTCTTTTTGTAATTATTAATAAAAATGCTTATATAAGTACTTAGATCTTGACTTGAAATAAAATAAACTTCCTAAATAACTTTTCCCAAAAAATATTACCTTTTTTAATTAGAAAGTGTTTTTTTGAAATCTTTAAAGGCCCTAATATATATAACCAAAGTGCTAAATTTATTAAAGCTTAATTCTATAAAATACATAATTCATTAAGAATCAGATTATAATATGCATCTTCAAATTCATTAAATATTCCTATATTGACCAATTTTTTGATCGTTCGCTTATCATCTAACCAAATTGTCAAATATACTGTGCCAAATCCTCTCTTACCAATTTCTTTAATATTTGATAATTTTTTATATGGAATCCATTTAATAACTTTTTCATATGCCATAGCTTTAAGTTGAAAATTCGTAATGTGATTACTAATTTCAGAGTTTCCACTTGATGAATAATATTTACTATATATTATAATAGGTTTGGATGATAAAATTTGAAAGAGTCAGATAAAAGTATAAAGAACAAGATCTTTTTACTAAAACTTATTTAAATTATGTAATTAATATAAAGTTTTTATTTAAAAATATCTTCAAAATTAGCAATCGTGAAAACTTACCAGATGCGATAACATTTTACTATTTTTTGTTCAAAATTATGCAATTCTTAAAAAAACAATTTTTAACCATACTGTTTAACTATTGTATTTATTAGCGTATAAAAAAAAAACTATTTTGTTATACACATAATCAAAATACAGGATTTAATCGTCTTCATCTTGTAATACCATTTGATGTGCTAACTCAATAGGATCATAATTCATATTACCTACATCACTAGCCCGATTAGTTGTAACAGATTCTGAAGAAAATATTGTATTTCCAGTTGCTGAAAATTCTAGCAACGCTAAATTTACAAAATCTGCGATATTTAATGTTGAACTTTCTGAGATTTCACTATTATCAGTATTATCCAAATTATTAACTCCATCATTATTAGTATTTTCATTTGAAACTTCAAATAAATCATATGTAACCATAGACAATTAATACTTTCATATAACTCTTCATTACTTAAATCTTTACTATAGAATTGGAGTTCTTTGTCAGAATTTGAAAGGTAATAAGAGCGTATCTTTGCCATATCTTCTACCCGAGAAAGACAAAGTCGAGTTCGTTTATTATCATAAAACCATTTAAGCATTGAGAAATTCCTCTTACAGGCAGCCAGTGAGGAAACAATAGAGAATAAACGTAATGCTAATTGTAAAAGTTGCTCTTAATCATCATCAGTATTTAAGCTAAGCCACCATTTTATTGGTATTTCACATGCAGAATTATATGAAAGATCATAAGGTTTGGCTCTTCGTTTCCAACTTCGCATTTCTGTTAATAGTTGTTCACACGATTCTTTTGAATAATGTAAATCATTCTAAATTAATGCACCCATTTCATAAATTTTATCCAAGGCTGTTTTTTTTAAGCCACGACCTAAAAAATAGTTAGATTTAATTAATAACAGAAACCTGGTCAAAATTTTTATTTATATGTATATATACCTCTATATAAAGGATATAACCAGTATGTAAGAATTGTAACAGGATTTACAAGTTCATCAAATCGTCGATTAAAATCAGCAATGATATTATTTTTCCATGGGTTAGAATTTTTAACTCGATTAATACTTGCTGCTAATTTAATCAAACCAATAAAAACATCAGCTAAATTTGCTGTTCTTGCTTCTAAACAATTTGTTAATTCTTTTACAGGTTTTAAAATAACAGAAATCTGACAGCATTTAACATAAAAATCTTCATTCTGAAGAAGATCAAACACCGTAATATTAGAGATTACTGATACATGATTTTCTAGAATCTGCAAATAAGTTATTGATCAATTATTAAATTTAAATCAAATATTGTCAGAATAAGCTTGGAATCAGATGATGCTAAAAATTTGAAATGTTAATTTTTAACTTATTTTTTTTTTAACTTTTTTTTTAAAGTTAGATTAGAATTTGTTTATAATAAAGAGCATATATAAATTTTAGTAGGGTTTATATTTTTAAGTTAAGCCCCAAGTTCTTAGCATCCTTCGATTTCAAGCATTATCTTTATCCTTGACAAATATTAACTATTATACTTGCCAAATCAAAAACTGGCTGGGATTTAACAATTGAGTCAATTGTCATAAAAAGCGATCTTCATCAAGTTTTGCTATATGTTTTAATTTTTTCACCCTTAATTTTCATAATACGAAGTTGCTCTAAATAATATCCATGAGCAATATGAGAATTATGAAAGAAATTTAAAATTAACCCACATTTAGTAACAATATCTTTAACTGAATCTAATTTAGTAAAATCACATGCAAGAAGATTTACTGTGTGCGCAGCACATCTAATATTTAATATAGAAGGGTAAATATCATGAATAATTTGACGAGCTACTCTAAGATTTGATCCTGAATCTGTAACAATTGCCGCAAACTTTTCAACACCTATTTTTTCAATGAAGTTTAAAATTTCACTGGCCATAAACTCACCAGTTTGACTAACTTTGTTATATTCTTTAAGTTTAATTAGATATTTTTTTCATTTAGAAGTAGTAATAATGATGTTATAAATTAAATTGTGAGTGGGCGATGTCCATCCATCTAAAGCTATTGTATTAAAAAATTTTTTAGAAATTTTAATTAATTAATTATTTAAAAAAATTTATATTACATACATAAAGTAAGATTTTTTTCTTTTTCTAATTCATTATCAATTCAGTTATCAATTTTTAAAATATCTTGATCTAAAAAATGGCCAGAAAGTTTATCAGATGATGGAAGTTTATATCCAGAAATTGCGAGTTGAAAAAAATCGATTACAAAAGGATTTTTAATGGTTTCAAATGCAAAATTACACATAATCCAAGCTTTTAAAATAGCTTTATTTAAGAATTCTGCTCATGCTTCAGGGATTGGTTCAATTTTTTGAAAATGAGTTGTAATTTCAAATTGATTATGTTTTGTTTTTTTTTGTGTAGATTTTTCTTCAACAATATAATTTCTTCAAAAATATTTAATCTCATCAGGAATATTTCCACACTGGCGAGCGAGATGCAAACGCATTTGTTTGGTTGACCTCTATTCCACGTAGTGGGACACCATTTACAACTGGCTTTATAATAACCATGGCCTAAACTAGTACCTTTATTAACAAAATTCCAAATATTACTTGCTTTTTACCACTCGTATGTTTACGTTTTGTGTTATTAAGTGATTGATTAGATTCACTTATTTCACTATACTCTTGTAGTTCATTTTCACTAGCACTAAATGTATTAGAAGCGGTTTCTGAATTTTGTGAAGCCATAATTTTGTAAAAAAAAAGTTTACACCATTATATAAATATTATACATCGATATTAATATGTAATTTACAATAACTAGTAAAATTAAATATTCCTACCTTTTGGTTTTATTATAACCAGATCCAAACATGATATAATCAGCACATTTGGTTGATTTATCAAATTCATAAATTCTTTACATACTGATATTGAAGCATTGTATATAAACAGTATCATTAATTAATTGTACAATAATATATTGATACAGCATTCAGAATTTTACTAAATATCTCTTTTTTCAATATTTTATAACAATGTACAAGATAATGCATCTCTCCTTTCTGCAGATTTCTGATAATAAATAATGCCTTATTATTCTTTGTTCAGATCAATTTATTGATTAATGAAATAACACAATAGGTGTTGTATTAGGCAGCTCTTTATATGCCCCATCACTTGCTCAAGCTACTCATTTTATTTTATGCTTTTTCATCAAACTTTACTATTAAATAAATAATTTCTTCAATTATCAATACATATCACAATACTAAACATTGCATGAGCATCGTGAAGCAAGTTAACAAGTGAACTATCTATACGTCATAAGCAAAGCATCGAGCTACTTCATTTCTCTTTCTATTATATTTCCTCAAATTTAAATCTTAAATTCACAATTTAAGTCAGCAAGTTCTCGAGCATCTCTTTTCATTCATTCATTTATTCTTATTTCCTTTCTTGGTGGGGCTTGGTGGAGTACTACGAAAGAGCTAAACTAGAGTCGAACAGCGAAAAAAGAAGGTACTATCAATTTCCAATCTTATATATCGTATCTATTCCATTCTTATTTTTTTCTAATCTTAAATAGCAACAAGGATTTCATAATTACACTCTACCTGTGAAAATCTTCATGATAACCTCAGCATGATATCGTCATGTGTTAGGTTATTTCATATTGATAGAACTATTCTAACAGAATTGCCTGTTCAGTGTATTTTTGTTAGTTAATATAACTTTCAATCTATATTTCCTGTCTCTCTCAAGTTTTGATAATAAATGCTTCTTTTTAACATCCATTCTGTTCAATAACATCTGAAAAATTTTATTGTTTCTCATTTTAGTATATTTTTGATAGCGAATAAGTTCCTTTTCAATACTATACAAGTATATTCTATCTGTATTTCTCATCTCAGTGGATCCTGACAATAAATTACTTTACATTTATCTATTTTACTTATAAAGGAGTCCTACTTTTTTTGCCAGGTTTTTATTAAGTCTGTTTGATATTATTTTAATCTGGGTTTTCATGAACATACTTCATATTTTAAAAAAAAAGGCTAATGAGAAAAATAAACCGTAGCTTGTTTTAGTAAAAAGGCAAGAAAAATAAATAAATAAATAACTAAATAATATAAATATCAAAATATTAAACTTGTAAAAATAGCTACTTCGTTTGCAAGAATCAGATAAATAAAATAGTGGTAGACAAAATAGAATAAAATAATAAAGCAAACTTTTTATCAAAATAAAATAATATAAAATATAAAAATTTATTGAAACAGGACTTTTAGAGTATAGATTCAGTTAATTCATTTATTATTTGCCATTTCACCATTTCACCAATTTCACCGATTTCACTGATTCACCGATTCACCAATTTCACCAATTTCACCAATTCACCAATTTCACTAATTTACCAATTCACCAATTCACCAATTCACCAATTCACCAATTTCACCAATTTCACCAATTTCACCAATTTCACCAATTTCACCAATTCACCAATTTCACCAATTTCACTAATACTGAATGGTGATTGGTGAAATAGTGAAATTATTTCACCATCTTAGTTTAATTTCACCAGCATTTCTAGTTGGTGCTGCCCTGGTCACCTCTAATCGAGGACTTATATGTGTGATCTTTATGTAACAGAACTATCTGTGGAATATGCACGTTAGCACCACTCCACAATTAGACCTCCTTTCCAGAAATTTCCTTTTCTGGTTTGTACTTGCACTTGGACTTAGCCACAGGGCTTCGCATCCAATAGTGGGGCCTCCTTCTGGATTACAGAAGCAAAAAATCCTAAGATTCTTTGCCTCCAGCTTAACTCCG